TTGGGTTGGGTTGGGTTGGGTTGGGTTGGGTTGGGTTGGGTTGGGTTTTTTGGTCAGCTTGACACAAATTAAGGACATCCAGAAGTACAGAAAATCAGTTGAGGAATGGCTGCCCCAGACTGGCCTATGGACACGTCTCTGAGATACTTTCATAATTGCTAATTGATGGAGGAAGGCCTGGCCCAGTGTGGGTGTTGTCACCATTGGCAGGTGAGTCAGGATTGTATAAGAGAGGTAGCTGAATGTGAACACGGAAGAAAGCCAGTACGCTGCATACCGCCAGAGTCCCTGCTTCAGTTCTTGCCTCTAAGTTCCTGCCTTGAGGTCCTGCCTTTGCTTCCTGCAACAACGGACTGTAACCTGTAAACCAAAGAAACCGTTTCCTCCTCATGTTGGCTTTGGTCAATATTTTACCACAGCAATAGGAAAGGAAACTAGGAAGGGAATTGTTACCAGGAGTGGGGTATCTGACCAGGCTGTTTTGGAGAGGATTGTAAGCACCTGGAACTCTGGGCTGGAAAAGTTATTGAGTGCATAGAGCGTGGTGAGCTGTTCTGTGGGAACTTGGAAGGTGCCGCTGAGAGAATGTGGTTGGCAGAGACCTGGCTCATGAAGTTCCAGAGGAGAACAGACTATCGGATGTCTGTGTGATATTTGGGGTTGATGATTTGTGCAAGTGGAACCTTTGCTTTGCTAGGATAATGGCTCCTGGTTGCCTGGGGTGGAAGATTGGCTGTGTAATCGACCAGTATTGCTAAGGGGGAATTTTCTGGTTTGGGCAAGCAGTTTTCTTAGGATCATCACAGAGAAGAATAATTTCTAGTTCATCAGGGACAACTTTTCTGGACAAATTGCTTCTCACAGTTTGAGCCTGATTGGAAACGAATTATATCTGTGCCTGTGTAAGATGGTATGTGCACCAAAACCTTCCCCTTACATTTCTCATATTCTAAGGACATATTTGTGTTCCTGAGCAGATGCTTTCTTTTTAAACAGAGCTCACTGTCTAGCCCAGGATGACCTTGAACTTGTGATCTTCTCGCCTCAGACTCCTGGGTGCTGGGATTGCAAATGTGCACCACTGGCCTAACGGTGTGATATCTTATTATTTATTTATCTATTTGTTTGCTTGTTTGTTTGTTTGTTTATGGGGTTCCACACACATTCAAAAGTACCTATTGGAGGTCAAAAGACAATTTGCAGGAGCTGGTTCTCTCCTTTAAGCTCAGGTCGTCAGGCTTGGCAGCAAGAGCAAACTTTACGCACGGAGCCATCCTGCTGGGGGCCCAGCGGTGTACACAGTCAAAAGACTGTAATGAATTGGAGCCTTTGTGTCCCTTGCGCATATCTCTTCCTGTCTGCTCTAAAATTCAAACCAAACAAGAACTCACCAAAATGACCCAATAGATAACAGAGGATATAAAAAGCTCTGTCTCCTCGGGACTGCAAAACTGAATCTAATCAAGCGTCAAATGTGGATCAGAAAAGCGACTTTCTTGGGACTGAGGTTAGTCTTGAAATAGCCCACGGTGGCCAATCTCAATAAAGCCTCTTGTTTTCCACAGACCTGTCCAGGTCTCCAAGAAGCAGAGGCAAACTTTAAATGAAATTTGCTGGTGACTGTCTGGACTGAGTGAATTAAACTGGGACCAGATTCTCCTCAGAGAGTCATCCCAAGGATCCATCCATCCATCACCATTATTGCACACCAACCTCCAGTTGCTTGTATTATTAAAATCGACTCCCCTCTCCCTTTACCAGAGTCACTGAAGGCTCTGCTCAGCAGGGCAGGCGATTAGCCATGACACTTCCGGTGTAGTAAACAAAACAAAACAAATTGTTCACAATTTCACATACTTCACACTGAAATTTCTAATGTTTAAATTTCAACAAGGGACATAATGCCTCTCCGTTTCACACTTGTGACTTTTATTAGTTGGAGGACATTCTCTTTTGTAGAAAAACGTCGTGGAGAAAGGTTCCATGAAATGGAGATGGA